GAGAACAATGCGGGATCGAGAGACTTGTCTACGAGCGATTAGCGAGTTAACGCGATCTGTTATCGATTACCGCCATTCTCGAGCTATTTCGGAACTATCGCCTTGTGAGCTGACCGAGACGATACCGGTTGCCGTGTGCCGTATTCTCGTCGGCGTGGTGCAGCGAGGGCGACTCTCTTTGGTGAAAGATCTCAATCGCGCGTGATCGACCTTCGGCCCAGGACGAGTTCGGATACACCGCGGAGCTACCGAGGGGCAGCTAAGACGACCAGCGAAAGGCGAGGCGACCGACCCGGAGGACAGGCGAGGAGGAGTCCGACTAATTGTAAGACCTCCCATTCGTTTGTACTTTTTCGTCATTTTCGTGAAATTGCCGTTCGGAACCTACCGCATGCTGAGTGGTCGCGCGAAACGAGATGAGATCTCCCAATAGGGAATAGTATATCGGGTAAACGTATCGACGCGAGCGTGAGTTCGAATCAGTTACTTACAGTGCATGTATCGCAATAATAAAATATCTCTACCGAACGTATGATGGCCTTCTTTTCCTTGGCTTCTACCTACATCAATTAAACCCATCCCTACTCCGACTAAAACCAAAAGAGAGCTACCGGTCCCGTTCCGTCCCCGCGATATCGAAGACGGACGACCATTTAGAGATTTTGGCGAATAATTGTTGGTGAGGAGGTGCGGCCTTACCGCACCTGGCGCCCAACTGGAATTAGCGAGTCCGAAACGAGATCCGGGGACCGCGGTAGTTTGTCGACGAGGCGGACAGACGACTGTCCGTTATTAGTGATAATAAGAATCGTCGCAGTATACTTCCGTCCTAGCTGGAGAAGTAATACACATTATTAAATGTGTACCAGTCGAGGTACAAGTTGCACCAAACGTTACACGACTACCAAATGTTACAATCAACTTCCGGTCGTAAGAGCCAACAACACATATTACTTAGCCCCTCAGACACACTTATTGCTCCGCCAAGGCACACAGGTTAACTGTAATCGGTTAGCACCCGTAATATACCGATTAGGCGAGGCTTGGTATCGGATATCACCAAACCCTGTCGAGGCAATCCCACCGACGATCTTGAAACCGATGACAAGACCCATATGGAAATATACCAGTCCCGGTGAACTCGCCACTAGCGGAATCTACTCACAGGCCGATCTCGAAGAATTTAAAGATCATATTTTATTCCCTGCCGAGCGACCTTCTGTCCTTAACACACTAGCAAGAGGAATGATGGGACAAGCTACCACTATACACGGGGGATCCTTCATGAATCTGCTGGACGAAGCAGCTCTAGAAAAATTAGCAACCTCAACATGGGACAGGATATGGGGGAAATTTCTGATTTTCGGCAATGTTAGTGCCGGGTTACTCGGCATCGTAATCATCATCAGGATGATTAAACTCATATTAGACACTATCCTGCATGGTGTCGCCTTACATTCTGTTTTTGGTTGTTCCTTATACTTAATAGGAGCCCTTTGGGACTCCCTTACCCAACTATTATTACACTTCGGTGGGAAGAGCAAAACTGGAGACAACAACTCTATGGGAACACAGGAAGTCAAAGGTTTGAAAAACCTCAGCAACGATCCCTCACCTATAATTACTGCGCCATCTTGTCCACCCAACGTCATTGAATACCAACAACTTCGATCTACCTTCCCTCAAGAAGACAGCACCTCATACTCTTTAAGCCTCAAGGCGTAATGTACAATAATTAATCCTTCACTCCCTCCGTTTGCTCTTATTACAGGAATGGCCATACCTTATATCGATACTCACTTGCTGACACGGGGCCAACTACCTATATACATCACACGGGTAGAATCCTCTACCCTTTTTTGGGTCTAATTAGATTATATTAGAACCAGACTTACGGAACTACAGGAAAATCTGAACTGCCTGATGGAGAGAAGGAAAAAACGGTATACTTTGTTTCCCCACGCCGTCCACTTAAAACAGGCAGTAGCAGTAAAAAACGAAGGAAATTGGTACAGAGGAGAGGTCACGGCAATCCGTGGGAACTCTGTGACAGTACATTTGGATGATTGGGGCCGAAACACGAAGAAGGCAATGTGGAAAGTATACAAGCTGACTAAACACTTCTGCGAAGACTCGTGGTACGCTATAGCCTGTGGGTTGTGCGGAGTTGAACCTACAGATCCCGGCTCCACATGGGGAGCTAAAGCGCGATCTCTAACAAGAGCTTTAATTGAAGACGAAAAGGGATGGATGAAGATTAAAAGGACTACCGCAGTTCGAGCCGTAGAAATTGACCTACGGATTTACTATAAAAACCAATTGGGATCCGTCACCCTGAGAGAAGAATTAGTGCGGCTGGGACAAGCAGTTAACCACCGATACAAACCAACACCCGCACCCGTTTACGCGATAAGTATATTCAAATACTCTTATTATTATTCTAAAACTAATAAGGAAAACGCAAATAACAATGCGCGATATACCTTCACTCACGGGTACATAAGTACACATATACGCCATTTATCTTCGCCTATATATACTTATAAACTCCTAAACTTATAAATAATCACTTCACATCTACATACGCATATGTATCTCTATGCGTTCTTCCTTTTCTTTTCAAAAAATATGTAATTTCATAGAAGGACGAAGAAATGAAGGAAGAGGATTTGGAGGTTGCCTTCTTCTTCCTGCTTCTAAAACAATCTCCCTTCTTATTTCTCTTTAGGTATTTATGTACAAGAAGAACGAAAGAATTTAGTAAGAGAAGCAAAGGACGTCTATTCTTTCCTCCTTCTAAAAACAACTTGACCCTTTGTAAAACTCTTTTGTCTCAATTACATATTTCCTTGAAATATTACCTAATAATTTTAGCATACTCAAAAGCAAACCGTTAAGACCCAGATACTTAGGACTACTTTCGGTTTAAGGGCTAAGGTAACTTACGGAAAACACCAAATACGACACCAACAATACGCAAGTAACACTTTATCCTTACTT